CGAATTCATAGTCGCCCGTTTCTGTCGGAATTGCCTGGAGAAGGGAGGATTTTGTATTTGCCGAAAAACTCCTGTTTCGAGGAGGTGGTGAAGAAGGAAGAGGTCGCCTACCCGTTTGACATTGGTTGAAAACACACATATGCACAAAAACAAAAACAAAAACAAAAGTATACACTCACATCGTCCAAGAATATTTACGAGATCGAAAGTAAATTGAGCAGGTGTATGCTCTCTAACTCTAACGTCATTTCTTTGGTACATTATTCATGCAGAAATTTTCTCGAGTATTCCCATTGATTTTAATTTAATTATATTTTGTTTATTTGTCAGTTCATAAATTCCATTGCGTGTCATGTATCATTATTTCTCCACATTCGGTAGAGAGAGAGCAAATAACTTCATAAACTTAAAAAAAAAAAAAAAAATACTTTAGAATTTCACCGTAAAATATCAACAACAGTTTGCCAGAGGCAATATGCTCATCATGAAGCAAAGACAGGCAGATGGAAACCGAACGTACGTGCGTCTGGAGTGAGTTGCCCCGTGGTTCACAAATAAATAATGCTAATACCTTCTCCTTTATGAGGAAATTATACTAAACAATAACAAAAACTACTACATAATAAGGATCTTGGATATTTATGGCATCTCCACAACGACCCCTCGGATCCTTCGTCACTTCAATACCCCCTTGAAATTAACCAACGTTAGCACCCACATTGAGAACCATTACATTAACTGCACAACCATTTTCTTTTTTAATAAACTGCAATATCCTCATAGTTATATGAAGAATTTGGGAGGATGAGACAAAAGACAGTGAAGGAAGAGGAAGAAGTAATGAGATGCTGCGAGAGAGAAGGTGAATGGACCATCCAGTAGGAAGGATGTGTCAGTGGGCGTGGGGGGGAGAGGGTGACATCACTCTTAAAAATAGGAAAAAAAGATACAAAACAAATAACACGAAGATAACTAAAGATACAGTGCGATAGCGTGGTTGGTACATGGGGTGCGAAAAGAGAGGGGAAGGATATAGGGGTATAGAGTAGAGGCCCATATAAGCTCGAAAGCCTCAGAGGACAGTGCGAGAGGCCAGATACAGGAATGTGATAGGGACAGGTCTTAATAAAAAAAGGTTCTTGTAAAGGGTCATTGACTTCAGAGGTATATGCATAATACCCCAACGCGCTACGAATACTTTGTAAGGAACTTATTACACACCGATGAAAATGAACTTTAATGCGTTTGGGAAGAATTTATATAAAAAAATCAATAACTTTCCACCTGTCAAGAGAAATTTTTCATTTTCATGAGTGAAAGTATTCGTCAGAAAATCATCATTGTTTTGGATGACAATCGTCGTGAACAATAAACACTAGAGATAAAATCATGACGCTTCTTCAAATAAGCAAACGTAAAAGTAAAAGTGCAAAAACATCAGCAAAAATAGAATAAATATATATAGCATACACAATAACAGTGACCTTTTCAAACTAAAGTTCAATACGTACCCTGGCCTTGCCGAAGGGGATGAACTCAAGGTCGATGATGTCCTGGAGGTCCTTCCACACAGGATAGAGCTGGTTCTTGAAGAATCTCATCGAGTCAGAACACAGGGACTCGAAATACACGCTCACCTTCACGCGGTCCGCAACGGTCCCCTGTGGGAGATAAAGGTATGAAGACTGATGCAAATATATATATATATATATATATATATATATATATATATATATATATATATATATATATGTGTGTGTGTGTGTGTGTGTGTGTGTGTGTGTGTGTGTGTGTGTGTGTGTGTGTGTGTGTGTGTGCGTGTGTGTGTGTGTCTGTATGCACATATGCATATTTGTATATAAACACACACACACACACACACACACACACACACACACACACACACACACACATATATATATATATATATACATATATATATATATATATATATATATATAAATATATATATACACATATGTACACACATTGTGTATGTGTGTGTGTATGTAACTTATTTATATATAATACATATATATGCATATATCTATATGTGTGTGTGAGAGAAAGAGAGTGAGAGAGCGAAGGAGACAGAGAGACTGCCAGACAGAAATAAACAGGATGAGGCGAATGAGGGGAAAGCCGATAACGGTAGTAAGACCGAGATAAAGGAG